GGAAGTAGGGGGTGTAGAGCAACTAGCCAGCTGGCAAAACATGCACTTCTTTGGTGAAAAGGGGAGGAAGGGAAAAAGCAGGTGCAGGGAAGTGCTGGAGGCTAGCGGCCATTATTAGAAGGCTGGGGAATATTTTAAAACCTGATGCATCATTTGAGGATAAAAGGTCAAGGGACCATCAACTTTATAACCATACCCCTTTTCCTTATATTGATGCTCTTAGTGACATTCCCACATGGTATAAATGCAGCTCTTTAGTTTCCAGTAATATTGACAAGCTCAGTCCCCTGTCCTCGGCCTACTTTTTCACCACTTTCATGAAGATTGATGTCTGTTCTCCAATAGACCGCCCCTGCAGCTCCCATTGGCTGTGGTTCCCCATCAGTGGGAACTGGGGTTGCCAGATATCTGGTATTGACCTGGACAGTCTGGTATTTTTACCTCCTGTCCAGTAAAAAAATTCAGAAAATACCGGTATTTTCTGATTTTTTTTTTTCCCAGCAAGGAGGAAGTGAAAATCCCAGGTCCGTGGTCCCCAACACAGTGCCCGCAGGCGCCATGGCGCCCGCGGGAGCATTTCAATGCGCCCGTCAGGTGCTCGGGGCTGGCCTGGCCCCAGGCACATGGCGCACGGGCGCTTGCGGGGGGAGCGCGCATGGTGGGGGGAGCCCCGGGTGCGCGGCGCTTGGCGGGGGAGAGCGCCGGCCCCGGGCACGCAAGTGTCCCCGCCTCCTGGTGCCCGGCAACCTCACATGGTTGGGGACCACTGCATTAAAGGAATGCAACAATGAAAAAATTGGAATGACAAAATCACAGTAAATATCAACACATTGGGTGTTCACATCATAAATTGCTCTTTTTGTGTAAAAGTCCTGTTTTGTTCCTTGCTTGACACTGTGTTGCTCTTTTGCTGGCTCACTTTATGATACCAGATTCCACTAATTATATTAGATTACGAAACAAACAAGTAAAAGAAACCTTGAAAACAGTTCAGTAAACTTTAGTAAACTCTTGCTCTGAGAAAATTATGCTGTTACTCCTTCAGCTATCATTTAGGATTTTCTCAAGCGTATTAGATCTAACACAACAGTCTAATAAATGCATCAATATCAACTGTAGCTCTACTACGCACATCCACTTCCGGATCACCATTGCTGATGTTTGTAACTATTTCGTCAATCAACAATTCAAAAGTAAGAATGACTCAGATGCTTAATATCCCTCCTCCCTTTAATATTCTCCAGTGTTTGACCATTTTGTTAGTTTATTCAATGTTTTGATTATTCTAATTTTACAACAGAAATCCTGAGAACCAGGTAGAAAATCTTATCTAACAAAGCTTGCTCTGAGGCTGCTCCATCCACTGACAATATATTACACTAGGAGATTCTCATGCATTTCCACAAATGTTGTAATTGTCTTTTTAATAGGAATATTTCTTGCTGATAAAGCTCTCTATACTCCGCATTTAAATGTTTCTAATTTTGTCATTATGTTCTGCATCTAACTTTGCTTTCAGTACTGTTGCTACTTAGCACTTGAAAAATACAAAATGCTATGAAAGTGCTGTACAAACAATTTTGAAAGCAGTTTCCTGTGTCAGATAATCTGTCTGAATGCCATTTTCATAACTCCCTAAGGGCAGTTTGAGAATTTAACTAGAACAGAATGTGTTTCCAGGAAATGGAAAATATTGACCTCTACTTCTTTACTGTACTGAAAGAGTCCTCATAGTAGCATAGTACCCCCAAGGCACACAATGCATTTGGCAGTGAAACAGAACTGTCAGTTTATAATTACCAAGATCTAGATATTGGCCTAGTATAATTGGGAAAAGTTATGCAAGGCATCATAAATTATAGTTTATTTGTTTTAATTGACAAGTTATAATCTACTATATATTTGAGAGTGTGCTTGTGAGTCTGTTTGTTCAAGAATGCCTCCTAAATGGTGAGAGCTAGGACCACTAAATTTGGTATTGCAACTTCCTCTTACAAGATAAAACAAGGTCAGGGTTTGGATGTGTGAGGAGTGGGATGAATCTTCTCCCTCAACCTTCTGTACTAGACAGAGGAACGCGGCCATCTACAGCACGATGGCTGCCAGCCTAGCCACCAAAGGCCAAATCCGAACACAGGAACAGGTTCGGATGAAAATTAAGGAGCTGCGGCGTGCCTATGCCAGGGTGACAGGGGGCAGCTCCCAAAGAGGGGCAGACCCAGAGAGCTGCCCCTATTTTGAAACCCAGGACCGCATCCTATGTCCCCCAGGTGGTCATCAACCCTGGGCAGAGGGCCCTGACCAGGGCATGGAAGAGGAGGAGGAGGAGAGCCAGGAGTTGCAGGAGCCCGCAGGAAGCGTGCTGTGCAGCCAGGACCCCCAAGCCATCTCAGCGGACCTGTCGCCAGTGTCATCCGGGGAGGCAACAACATGTGAGTGCCATCACTGTCCCCTTATGGGGGGGGAGGGGAAGGGAGACCAGAGACCACGCGTGTGGGCCTCGCTGACCATGGATCACGCAGCAACCCATGCACATGCCGTGCCATCCCATGGCACGTGGCCCCAGCTGGCTGCCACACAGGGGCCTTGGCCTGTTAGCCACATGTGTGTGTGAAGATACATGACATGCTCCTGACCCTGGGGTGGGACACAGCAGGACGCCCTCCCTCCACAAGCCACCTCTACACAGAGGCAGGGGACATCTACGCTCCCATACACCCCCCACATCCCCTTCACACTATATACAGAACAGGGGCATGGGTACAGTCCTGGGGCAACTTTCACTCCCGGGGATAGCAGGACATCCCGAACATGGCCTGTGTGCAAGCACATCGGCTCAGATGGTGTGGAGACTTGTTGTCCTCACCTTGCAGAGTGGGGCTGGACTTCACCCTCCGTGTCCCCACAGAGAACTGACCACTTCTCTTGTTTCTCCACAGTCACACCAGCTGCGAGTGCAGCGTGCACCACACTACATTGGACATCCTCCTGCACCCGAGGACTCCGTAGGTCCACCTGTGCAGTGGAAGGGTACCAGCAGGAGCACCTAGGGGCACTGCAAGCCCTGCACCGCATCCACAACCACTGGGTTCAGGACAACCTGCAGCTGGAGGCAGTGCTCCCTGCAGCTCAGGCAGGAGCAGCTTGCCCAGAGCCATGCCATCTGCCAGCACCTACAGACCCTGGTGTAGACCTTGCTGCCTCCTGCCGCTCCAGCCCCTGCTGTCCCCCCGGTTACCGTTCCTCCTCCCACTCCTTCTCCCCCTCCCGCTTCTTCCTCCACACCCCCTCAGGGGACATCAAGGCTCTCGCACCCGTGGTGCTGGGAGACAGTTGGGCCGGTGAAACCCCCAACACTGAGCCCTGAGCTTCTCCTCCTCTTGCCTCCCCCTTCCAGCTCCCTCCTCCCAGGTTTCCCCCTCCCTTCTCCCACCTTCTTTCCCCAGTCTCACCTCAGTTTCATTCCGCACCCCATCCCAGTTTTGTTCAATAAAGAGACTTTGTTGTAATGAACAAGTGTGTCTTTTATTGTACAGCAGGAAGAGGGGTTAGAGAGGGGTAAGTGGAAGGACGTGAGGGAGGAATGAGGCACAAGCCACTAGTGGGGCACACCAGGGAGACTGTTACTGCCTGCAGAATGTGCTGCTAGGCTCGCAACATGTCCAGGAGAAGCACCAGAGTGCCCAGGGGTGGCTCCGGTTTCATGCTGCAGAGTGCTGTGATGTCCTGAGTGAGGGCAACCAGAGCAAGCAGAGAGAAAAAATACTTTGCTGTCCCCCAGCTAGGTAGGCAGGCAAGCAGGGAAACCTGAGAACTGGATGTCCTGGGGGGGAGGGGGCGATAGCTCTCAGATAGCCTCAGGCAGCAGCCACACAAGGTAACTCCTGACATGATGCCCTGCCAGAACTGGTTCCAGACAACCTTAAATGCGATTCAGCGTCCAATCAGTGTGGATGCACTATTCTGAAATAGCAAAATCCTTGATGTGCTGGCAGGCAAGATGGTGGAGCCCCAGCTCTGTTGGCCACTCTCTTGATGGTACAGCTGCCCCCAAATGAACAGCCCTGCCCCTCTTTTTCCATGTTATGAAAAAATCAGTCCCTTTCCCACCACTTCCTTGTGGCCTTGCTTTAAGTTAGGAGAAGAGGAAACTGCATACCAAATTTGGTGGTCCTAGCTCTTAGCGTTTAGGAGGAGTTCTTGAACAAACAGACTCGCAGACAAACAGACAGACGCACAAATCTCTAAAATATATTAGGGATGTTAAATATTGATTAATTGAATCGACTATTCCAGTGTTTCTCAACCTTTTTTTAAATAAAATACCGCTTTAAAAAAAATAAAAAATTATAAGTACCCCCAGAACCTACAGTTTTCAGACACACAAATGTTTTTTCTACCATTGAAACACATTTGTTTAAACAACTTAATCATAGCCGGGCGGGTGATGACATTTTTGGCTGTGAAACATACAAAAATAATAATGCGCTGTAAAACTTAAAACAAAAATTCAGTTTTCTCCAAATTTCAGTGTTGATGTCTCTCCCAGACGTCTCTCCAGTATCCCTAAGCTTACTCATACCACTGGTTTAAAAATCATTGGACTATTCTATAGTCCCTGGGCAGCTCCTGTCTGGGGGAAAAAGGTCTGAGCTCCCGGACCTGGCACAAGCCGAAACTGATCTGGGCTGCCTGCCTATCTGGCTCCTAATACACTTTAAATGCAGAGCCGCAGCAGGGGTAGGTCCACGACCCAGTGCAAACCGGGACAGAGTGGGGCTGCTGCCCAGCCTGCTAAAAAATTGACTGGCAAAGTAAGGGGGAGAGGGTATGTAGTCTATAGCATTTACCTATAAGCTTATTCTTATTAATCAGTTAAACAACTATACTATTACATCCCTAAAATGTATATATAGATAGCGCAACAGAATCTCTACGAGGTATTGTAACATAAATGACAAAATCCAAGAAACTCAGCTCACATAACAAAAATCTCTCACCTTTCCATGCTGTCCTGCTCTTTCATAGCAGATTACTACATCTTCCCACATTTCCAACTTCTCGAAGATTTGTAGAGCTGAACTTGTGCACCCCAGTTCAAAGAGTAAGCTTGCAAGTTGGCGCTAGGAAAGTCAAAATACAAAAATGTTAGATTCAAGTTCATTACCACTTGCAGAAAAGATATTAGAGGCATTTCTAGTCTGAACAAGAATATGAGAAACTTTTTACGCTTTTGAATTTTGCTCATCACTGAGAAGTCATCCTAATAAAAACTACTACATATGGTTTCAAAAATACTTAAAGCAAACTTGTCCACACAATGTAACAATCACCAAAAATAAGTTATGTGAAAAAAAATCAAGAGTGCTTTCTAGAAGGCACACCTGTTCAGTTTGAGCAGCCCTACAGATATGGCTTAAAGGTAAGACTAAGATTTGAAAGCAAAAGCCCTGCAATACAGTATTTAACTTTTAGAAATGAGCAATTCAATTTTAAACTCATCTATTAAGATGTATATTTTCTAGCATTCACCTGCGCGTCTTTCACTAAAGTTCTAGGGTCTATATTTTCTGGAATTTGACATGTATTTATAAATGAATGGCTGTGATAACACCACCATCTCATTACAGCAAGGCTGCGTCTACACTGGCATGAATTTCCGGAACTGCTTAAAACGGAATACTAATCCATTTTCAGTTTTTCCAGAAAAGGAGCGTCTACATTGGCAGGCTGCTTTTCCGGAAAAGCCCTTTCTCCGGAAAAGCGTCTGTGGCCAATGTGAACGCGCTTTTCTGGAAAAGAGCCCCGATCGCCATTTTCGCGATCGGGGCTTTTTTTCCAGAAAAGACTACTGGGCTGTCTACACTGGCCCTTTTCCAGAATAAGGCTGTCTACACTGGCCCTTTTCCGGAACCGTGTTCCGGAATAAGGACTTATGCCCGAGCGGGAGCAGAATAGTTTTTCCGGAATAGCGGCTGATTTTGTACAGTAGAGCATCGTTGCTTTTCCGGAAATTCAAGGGCCAGTGTAGACAGCTCGCAGCTTATTCCGGAAAAGCGGCTGATTTTCCGGAATAAGTGGCCCAGTGTAGACACAGCCCAATAGTAATTCCGCATAAATGTACAATACAGTAATTCCTCATTTAACACGTGCCCGCTTAACACATTTTTGCGATAGCACGATTTTTTTTTTTAGGGAGCGTTTTTTGAATTACACAACCATCCATGGAATAACACCATCTCCCCAGCCGGCCCATTGCTGGCAGCTACGCGGGGCTTCCCCTGCCTCCCTGCAAAGCGGTGGAGGGTTCGCTGCTCGCCGCGCTGTTCCCCGGTGACTCCCCCCCTCGCCAGACGCAGTACGGGTCCCGGGAGACCCGTCACAGTGGCATACTCCCAACCCAATCCTCCCCTCTCCTCCCTTTCCCTTCCCCAGAGCCAAACACCTCCCCTCCCTGCTGTAACCCAGTCCCCTTTCTCCCCCAACCTTATGTCCTGGTCCCAACAGACACAACCACTTGAACCCCCACCTTTTCCATTATTTTCAATGGGAAAATTGACCCCGAATAGCACATTTTCGCTTAGCATGAACATTTTCTGAAACATATCTATCGTGTTAAATGAGGAATTACTGTATAATATAATTTTAAAATGTTACAAAGTACAGGCAGTCCCCGACTTACGCCAGATCCGCACTTACGAACGGGGCTTTTCTCGCCCCGGAGCTCACGGGCGGCGGGTCGCCACCCATGTCCTCTGGGTGGAGAAAAGCTTCTCCCAGTCTCCCTGGTCTGCTGGGGGGGTACAGCAAAGCCGCTGGAAACCCCCAGCAGACCAGGGAGACAGGAGCAAAGCCGCACGGGCGGCGGGGGTCCCGCTGCCTGGGCGGCTTTGCTCCCGGGCAAATGAGCAAAGCCACATGGGCGGCGGGGTCCCTCTGCCTGTGCGGCTTTGCTCAGGTCTCCCCCTGGTGTGCTGGGGAGGACTCCCCCCAGCACCCCAGGGAGACAGGAGCAAAGCCGCACGGGTAGCGGGGTCCCTCCGCCTGTGCGGCTTTGCTCGGGTCTTCCTGGTCTGCTGGGGGGGGGAGGGGGGGCAGCTAGGGCGCCCCCCCTCCCCGCAGACCAGGCTTTTATTGCAGGACGCCTCGGGGGGGCGCGCCTGGGGGGC